TTTGAAAGTTCTTTAATGAAAAGAAGAAACTATTACGAACAGAACATTGACATGTGTCTTCTACGCCTAATGACTTTATAAAATGCAATAATTCTTTGTCTCTTGCTTAAATGTTGTTACAAAATTTGATTTAGGGTATTTGCGTATATACGTATTTGCTCGCTTTGTTTGCTTAGGCATTGCGAACATTTCCTAAATGTGACGTGAATAATAGGTTTTTGTTTAGTTTTAAAGCAAAAACCGAGCAATGCTTGCAAGTAATCAACATATGAAAAATAACCATTCATACATATTTATGAAAGTTAAAGCTCGTATGCTTTTTTTAAACAATATTTTCACGCTTTCTTGCGCTTATCTAAGTAAGAAATTTTTAAGAAAACAAAAAAACTATGAGGAAACTTTTTAAGGAAATATTTTAGAAAATGATGTGGAGTCAAGTGGAATTATAAAGGGTGTTTCAAAGTGAGTAAGCATTTTAATTCCTCATTTCTTTTGTCTCATGGTTAATAACAATTTTACCTTATTATTAGAAGATAGTGACAGACAGATTGCACTATTTTGACAAAATTTTCAAAACATTTTATAACATGTCACATACTGAGTACTCCCGTTTATGGTTACGTTTCATATTTAATAGAAAAGCCAAATATAAGCAGATTTGCTGTGCCTAAAGTGCAGAGCCATATTTTAATCAGTTAACTGTGTATCACAAAAACGTCATGATACGTCCATCCGCATTTGTGCGATTACCTCTTCAAATTTTATCACTACGTACGTTCAATAAAACGGTCTACGGATCCACGAGTCGAATGTGGGTCTTCCGGCTGAGTGCTGATTGACCTAACCTATGCGGCAGCCAATGGCACCCTAAATTGAAAGTTTATTTTAGATATAGATGACTCGAGCTGTTATCAAAGAATATCTTCAAGTTCACTTGCATCACACATGACGATTTAACGTATTCTATCAGATATTTCAAAACTCGATTTATGATGTCTTTCTTTGAACATTTTCTTCCAATGATCACCGATATTTGTCAATGCTGTAGAATTATCCACTTCCAGTGGACTTTTACTGCGCAAACCAAAACAATAGACATGGAAAGATTGGACGCGATCAACGCGTCTTATTCCTATCTTTATTCGTTTTATCAGTTTTGAGCGAAGTTACTAAATTTTCATGATCATCGTCGTTTTCATCCACCTTGTGCTTTCATTTATCTTAAAAACGCTTACGATTGCTTTCTTAGTTATTTTAACCGGCTCTATCGTCACATCTTCATATCCAATATCAGAATTAGCTTTTCATCTTTCCCCCTTTCGTCCACAAAGCTAAAAAAAATTTCTTTCTTGACACTCTTACGTTTGAATATTAAAAACACAAAAAGAAGAAAATTTACTGTCAGTCCGTCAATTAGCCGCTTACTTTAGGAACGCGTAAGATAATAAAGACGACAATGACTGAAAGAAATCAACCTTGAAAATGGGCGTGTTTTATTAATTGATTAAGTTCATTGATGACCATAGATATTGCATATTTCCAGAACCATTGCAATTTTTCTTGGGTTTTTAACGCTACTTAAAACAAATACATATAATATATTCGCAACATTCTTAGTCGAATTAACCCTGTTTTATATGCTGTGGTCCACGATAGAAAGATGAAACTTACCATACATGCTCTTAATTGTTATCCGCTACAAGCCACGCCCACGTTTACTAAATGCTACAACTTACAATTCACGATTGATGTCGATATAAAAATTGGTTCATTTATTAACGAGGATTATCCAAAATGCGCAAAAAATTGAGCGAGTATTCACAACAGAAAATAGTATTTAATAAAAGATCTTACAATCTTTACGCATACGGCATTTTTGATTGAATGCAAGGCGAGTATATTATTTATATTTACCCTTCTACTACACGTGTACATTTAACCAATTTAATAGGTATTTGCTCTATGAAATTTTGGCTGTAGATCTCACGGATTCAGATCGCTAGATAGAATATAAGCAACTAATGTTTCCGCAACAGAGAGCCAGTTATTCATACAGCTTAACAATATTAATTTGTCTATTTGTCTACCACAAACTTTTGCCCTTGCTTTATCGAGTTATTACCCCAAAAAACGATACGTTCCCCTTCACGCAATAAGTTTCGCAACTTATTGAATTATTACAATTTTTCCTCGTGTATATATATTCGCAAATTTAATTGTTCTTCAGCGTTATTTAGCAAGTTATCTCTAATGGCGTAATAGTAGATTAAGGAGTTATGTTAATAGATACTTAAATATGTAGATGAAAAATTTTAATTAGTATTACCTAACATCAATTTAAGTCACATTAAGGCATAATATCCCACTTACCTCAAAATATTAACACTAAAATTATCTTTTTTTAAAATTATCTGTTATTTTCGCTAATTTCCTTTATATTTCTGACAATGGTGACCTTAGTTCCGATCGCTTTCACTGGTTATCAGCTTCAACAACACGTTTCACAATCTCTCACTTAAATATAATACTGTCAATCGTAAAACTGATGTTGGGCACTTTCACTTTCGTCTGAGATTGGAAAGCTCTTCTGAAATCGATGATGCGGTACAATACTCTTTAGATTTTCTGATCGCTGCCAATATTTTAACTACCACGCACACTGAAGACATAGCAATGTTATTTTCACTTGGTGATGCCGCGAATATGTCCTACGAGGTGCAAAGTCATCTCAACCAAATGTCGCTTTCGCTTATATATGAAAATAAATGGAATACGAAATAAACTGTCTGTTACTTAAATTAAAGTAATGAATTTTCTAAGCGTACATTATTTATATACTATATATCATATTAGGTTCTTGAATGGATTTTGATCATTTCTTTCATGTGAAAAAGCATTTGTTGGGAAAAATTGATACAATATATATTAATCGAAATATTTTCCATAATCTTCTACAAGTTTTTCTTGCCTTTTTGTCGACTTGGCAATACCGTGTTGAAAGGTTTCAATATTGGTTCGACAGCGATCTAATCATCAATTCATTTTCGGCCGACTTCAGAATTTCGAAACCGGACGCCAGCCAAGCCCTGCTGCACTGACCCGTCCTAGCTTGCCGTAGAGTGTTCTTGACAACTCTTACACCGTGTGGCCAAGCGTTGTCATGCAAGAGGGTGACTTCGTGTCTATTAACCGCTATTGCTGCAATAACATTTTCATTCGATTCCAGCCACTCGTAATACACAACACCTTGCTGACCCTACCATATGTACAGCAAAACTTTATGGCCATGAATATTCCGCTTCGGTGTGGATGTGGATGGCTCTCGTGACTAACGTACAGCTTTTCGCCTTAGTAATGTCGTAGTAGAACCAGTCTTCATCGCCTGTCACAACAGAGAACTTATCTTTTTGTGTCTGGCAAGCAATGGAACTACGATTTTGAAACGGTTTGCGGTCATGCTGCTAAACTGTTCGCAAGTTCTATGAGACTTTGAGCTGGGTTTTCTTCCAATAAGTCTTGCAATTCGTCGTCTTCGAATTTTTTTGGTCTTGAAAAAACCGACAATTGGGATATGATGAAGCAGCATCCTGGTAAGCTTGTAAAAATGTGTGATGGTCAGTGGATTTCTTCAAATCAAGTAACAAAAGTAACGTCGAAAATACAAATTTTGGGCCTTAAATGATTGGTGCCTGACTGCATAATTTAAAAATAAGGAAAAACTTTATGTAGAGAAATGTCAAGATCGAATTTAATTTATTAATATTTTGCTTATACAGTTTGTGAATAAATGTATAAAGTACGCCAGAAAACTTAGATCATATGCTCGCCTGTGTTGACAAACTCTGCCCGTTTGCATTGCTAGCCGCGATCCTTGATTTCGGATTAACCTCTCTTATATTCCTCCTCTTTTTATCACATTTACTTAAAATCTTTTTAAAAGGATTGTAAATAGTAAAGAGAAATAAAAGAAATAAAATGATTAATAATTAGTCTTTTTCCAATTAGTCGAGTTATTGAAATACCGACGACCAAACTGATTTTTTTTGGTAGAATTATGTACCTAATAAAAGTTGCGAGTTTTGGTATTAGCATTGTAGTACAAACAAAACTCCGAAAAAGTGGAATAGATTTTAACTATTTTCAGCATAATGTGCGTAGACTTAACAGTATTGCTATCAAACTATTAATCGCCACTCTGACAGCCCTTAGACTTATGCTTATGCGGCGGTGCAAGCGTCAAACACTTCAACTTGTAATCAATCTATCAAAATAGGTGCACACTAACATGATAAAGGCTACATATGGCTGCCTTTTTTATTGTGATTGCAATTGTCACGTCATAGAGAAATAATAATAACAAGTGATATTTATAAAGCTGACATGATAATTACCAATCATCATAACTTCAAATGAAAATTATATTAAAAAAGTCATAGAGAAAGCCAATCAAAAGTAAGTGCTAAAGAAAAGTATAAAAAGCCAAAAAACTGTTAAGAGCATATCAAAGTATAAAAAAGTAGGCGACTGCAAATAAACTCGCCGAAGATTCAAAAAAAAAAAAAATAATGGGCTCCTTAGTGTTTACTATTACATTACTTAGCGTTTTTAAAAGAATTGAAGGTATGCCCACGCAAATGGAAGAAGTCAATGGCACCGAAGTATCGATAGGTTAGTGGGAAAGGCTGTTAAGTATTAATATTATATATAATTAACATGCTCTTCACATACAAATAGCATTATCGGAAATTATTAAGAGCTTAAAGCCTATCCAATTGGCCATACTGAGAAAACCTCGTTTACCATTTAACTCATCTGGTGAAGAAGACAAAGAAATTGACGATGACTTGTACAATGATAATATTGAGAAGAACGTGAACGATTTCATTTACCAATTAAATAAGTTATGCTTCATGTCGGTTGTGTTTTACGATGTGGACTTATTCTTTCAATATATCGAAAGCAGTATAATCGGCTCAATAGAGAGCACCAATTTCCTTTTTTGCAAACCGCAAGATTTAATGGATCGCATCTACGAACGTAAATTAGCACATCGTCTTAGTTTATTCATATTTTATTGGGGCGCCAAGTATCCCCCCAAGCGAAGTGAAGTACAATTTTCAGAACCCTTAAAAGCTGTAGTCGTAACCAGACCAAGGAATAAAGCGTAAGTTTTATAAAATTTTAAATATTTGATTTTAATCCTAAAATCAGCGACAAATATAGACATGAGCATTCGCGCGTGAGGTGCTTTCTAACTAATGTCTTAAATTTCCAAAAATTTTTTAACGATTTCTTTTGTTGCTGATGTTTGACTAAGGGCTCCTCCAAGCATCGTTTTCAAGTGAATTTACAAAAAAATAAATTTTTTTACAGATATATTAATTTAGTATTGGACTCTTTACGGAAGAGTATATTAGTTTTGCGTTTCCTATAAATAAGTTCAGCCTTCCAAGAAGTGAGGTGCGTTTTTGAAACTCTTTCTCGGAAATCTTCAGAACGGAAAAAAAATCAGCATGGAATAGTTAGTAGCATTTAACTCATTGTGATGATCGCATGCAGCTTATTCAAAATTATTTTCGAATACATATTTACGATAACAGTCGAAACAATTAGATCTTGGTACGTTCATATTGCCTTAGTTTCGTATGAAGAATGAAGAAATAGTTTGGTACTGTGTTCTGGGCATAGCAAAGCAAAACACATATCTTAAGCCTAAAGGTCTTTGTAGATTGCATTCTAAATAGGTCCGAAAATGATGAAAAGTACGCATCGTAGAGCTAGCGTCTTTTGTTACTCTCGAACTAAATAAGTATCTATCTGTACTTACTTGCATGGTTGCTGTCGAAAAAGTAAAAGACCAATCTCAACGATTCTCGCTATTTTGTAATTGATGAAAGCCACTTTTCTCTCAGGTGGTTCAATGAAATTGTATTGACGTGTAACTTTAATTGACGTGAAAATTGTGAAAAATGGATCCGTATTAGTATATGTTAGGAGAAGGAAAATATAGATTACTATGTCTGAATAAAAAATAAATTATTACTAAAGGCTAGTGCTGTGCGATGAGCTTATTAATCATATATTTAAGCACTAAAATATAAAAAAAATGCTTTCGAAAATCATTAAAAAAATCCATATCGAAATAATTTTGGCGAGGCATCTGCAGTGTAAGAATCCCTGTTTCCCAGAATGTATACGTCAGTGTTAGACGTAATGTGAAGTAATATGACAGTCGCACTTCACTCAATAGCTGGTTACTACCGAGGAAATATATGAATGAATGGTTTTTAAGTACGTTGAAGGTAGTAATCTAGCGAGTGCATGGTAGATTACTGTGCCATGTCAGTGCAATACCCGAGACCTATATATCTCGAAGAAAAGTAGCTCACTGGTGTTAGCAACCAGGAAAGTGTGGAGAATCCGAAACAAGTACGGTTGTTTTTTAACATCCGCCCAAAGTATGCCAAAGGCTTTGTAAAACAAACTGGGAGCCACGGGGGTCAGGAGGCTCGGCTCATAAAGCCACGTATGCCTGCGGGTGTATGATGGACTTTGTTCTTAAAGTCGTAATGAAATAAATTAATTTTACTATTAATGCAAAAGGAATTGACGGACGGCCTTCCCTTTGGCCGATTAATAGAAACCCTCTCGTAAGTTAATTTAATACATGCAAAAATGAAAAAAGGGATTTGACGGAAAGGTTTTTCCCCTTTTGCCTATTTTTACTTTTGAACATATGTCACGGATGCCTGCGGGTAATGGTGGTAATTGATCAACAGCACAGTGGAAGCCTTATGGCGGAAGCAAGCGTTGATCAATTTGTGAGTCCTGACTGCTAGGGTGCGGCCCTTCGGGGAGTACTCGTGGTGGTTGTGGTTGGCGAGTTCCTAGCTAAAATGGAACAATTTGAGTGCAGCTAGGCCTCACCATTGACCAGAGTGGGGTTTATTGTTCCATACACAATAAACCGTTCTGGACTCTGGTGCTGTTTAGGCCCCTACTCTGTGGGGATTGTCTAACTCTCCAGGGGGCGTAGTACGCTTGAAGTGGCTTGGGCCACCGTGGATTTAGGCCTTTCAGGCAGGAACCCACGTTAAACCCTTGCCACAATTTTTTAAGATGATTTCAAGCTAATATCGTCTAATGATACATATACTTTAAATAAATAGGCTTTTATATTGCATTTAAATTAATGCGTAATAATTAATTAATTGATGATACTTCAATATTCCCATATAAACATGTGTAAATTCCATCAAAGTGCCGCGAATACTTGCGACCTGCATGCTGAACAAAAGAATAAATGGATAGAGAGATCGCGCGGTCGGACAGACAGACTGACAGTTACCAAACACGGCTCTTTCGTAACAATATTTTTATAAGAGAAATGCGGCAGAAGTGAAAAAAACCAAATGTTTTTTTGCTTTCAACTTCAAAATTTAAGAACCATAAACTATCGGGGCGTAAACGAACACTAAAAGCCATAAAAAGCCCAGTAATTCTTAATTCAACATCGTATTAGTTAACTTTACTACATGGCCTAATTATTTTCATGTATACAACATTAACAGCGTCCAGACAGCAAAGAGGGTCTTTTCTATGGCATCTGCATACATCAAGATATGGGACAACTCATTCGCAAACAGGAGATTGTTTATATAAAAATCAAATAATATCGGGCTCTAAGCAATATCGGGCATTACTGAAATGTCTTCGGACTGAAAAAAGTTATACAATATTCTAAAAGGTCTGCTATGGGGATTTGATTCTATTTATTTAATTAAGTTAGGAAAGAAACCGAACGACTGTAACTTATGGCTATTTTTGTCAACACCTTTGTTGAAATTCGCGTACCTAACGTCCGTCTGCGAACCATCTTAAGCCTTAGCCATATGATTACTAAACGGTGGTTGATCTTCCATCAATAAATGTGTGTTGACTTGTTGAGAAATGTATTATTTCATAGCAAAATTGAGACGTCGAACAATGATAGAATCAAACAATTTTGAAAAGGCACCCAATTTAGCAATACTTATGCAATTTTCATTTAAGTGCATATTCGCATTTCTATGAATAGATATAAAAAAATTAATCTTCCAAACCGCTGGCAACGCATCTAATTTCAGAGTTTTGGCAGAATATCGCAAAGTTCGTCAACAGAGAGAATTTCGATATGGTAGAACCATTTTTTGAATATCATCCTTCTTGATTTATTCTACGAAAAATAGGCGTGTAATTGATAAAACGATCTAATTTGTTGAGCTTTATGATGAAATTTGATAGAGAATGGCGCTTTGGCAGATAAATTTACTGCGCTAAAATTGGACCGTGTCTGTGCATTTATTGATCTCTTCGACCATAGCGAATCCTGACACCAGTTCTTATAATGAATCACACCAAAATATATCCCTTGATCTTTTATTAGAATTGTGGGCTTGATTAAACTGTTGTTGTTTTCGTTTGCCGTTCAAAATCATTTATTTATCCAAGCGAGTTATAGATAAATATAAAATAATATACGTAGGCCATATATTTTTGAATTTTGAATTATATAAAAAACAATTTTTAAAAATAAGAAAAAATTTATTTACTGATGCAAGTTTTGCATAAAATTTTCGTTTCAATTCATAACCCGTGAAGAAACTATGATATGTAATGCTGCGGTTTTTGTTCGGAGATAGATGCACAAACATCTGTAATTTTTTCCTTGAAACCCCTAAGTATTGTGTACGTGTAACCTTATGGATGCAAATTTGTTCTTTAAGACAAATTACAACTGAAGAGCCAGCTGGTATCATAATAATAATTAATTCCTAAATAACAGCTTCTTTTTAGTGCGAGAAGAAACTCAACTCAAGCAGAAACTCAAATGTATTCTGCCTATATAAGAATATATAGAAATTTTTATTTCGTATCGTCGGTTTATTTCGATAGCCGATAGCCTGTGTTGCTAGTGCTCAATGTCTCTTTTTTTAGTCTAAGAATTCAATTCATTAGTCTAAAATTAAAATAATAATAATAATAATATTTCGAAACTACATTGCATTCTAACAGCTTTTTGTCTTCAGCTCATTTAAACCATTTTAAAATTCTTAATCCACGGTCGGCAAGAAAGTTGCCAACAATGATTAAGCAATTATCTAGTGGCTTAAATATATATAAAAGGCTTACATTAATAAAATATGCTCTGGAATCTATTCCATAATCCCAAAAAGAAATATACTAGAAAACCAAAATTTAAAAGTAAAACTAATTATTTTGACGTTTTTTCATAGTTTTAGGATTTACTACAATCAAGCCGTATCTAACAATAACGGCCAACTATCCTTGGTCAGTTGGTATGATGGTGAAAACTTGGGCTTAAGCAAAGAGCCTCTTTTGCCTTTAGCTTCTCGTGTTTACGCAAATTTCCATGGAAGAGTATTTCGAGTTCCAGTATTTCATGTAAAAGCTTATAAATATTCTAAATTTTAATTTAAAATCGCTTTTGATACTGTAGTCGCCGCCTTGGTTTTGGGTTAATTACAAAAATGACACCAATGGCAAAGGGTCGCAATTAGAATATGATAATCGCGAGAATCACAAGAGAGAAGAGAGTTCGGAATTCCAAGAAGTCCAGGTAATCGGTGGCCGAGATCACCGCCTTTTGCAATTATTAGCTAAGCATATGAATTTTGAATATGTTTACATTGAGGCGCCGGGTAGAACGCAAGGATCATTGCGTGCGGACAATGAGGATAACGAAACATTTACCGGTGGTATAGGTTTGCTACAAAATGGAGTAAAATTTTAAAAATCTTTAAATCCCCATTTAAAATTAAAAGCGAAAATTTTCTTCTCAGTTGGCCGACTTTTTCCTAGGTGACGTCTCATTAAGCTGGGAACGACGCAAGGTTATTGAATTTTCGTTTTTCACTTTAGCCGATTCAGGCGCTTTTGCCACGCATGCTCCACGCCGTTTAAATGAAGCTTTGGCTATTTTGCGGCCTTTTAAAGCTGATGTTTGGCCTTATTTAATACTAACGATTATTTTCTCGGGTCCTGTATTTTATTTTATAATAGCTATACCTTTTAAGTGGCAGGCTGAAAACGATATCAATAAGCAACATAAATTTTACATGACTTATATAAGAGAAATAACGCATATAGAGGGCAGTATTGATGGCAATCGACACGGAACACAAAAACCAGATGCAGAAATACCTAAGAATTTATTTGATAAATGCTTATGGTTTACGGTGCAATTATTTCTTAAACAAGGTAAATGAATGCCAAGCTTACTTTGGGAAGGTTTACTGCTTCATTTAGCTGCCACCTTGACAAATACGAACTGGGATAATTCGTTTTTAACAATCATAAAATCTTTTCCATATATCGTGATAAAATACTAAATTCTGAGAAATTTGCAGAGCTACATCGCATAATAACAATCTTGTTATTGTTGAGAACACGATGTTGACATCGGATACAGCTTCTTGAAAGTTTTGATTTAAGAGTAACTTGTAAAAATTTGATTTTATGTTGAGTTCTAAACACAAGACTTTCTCTCCAAGGCCCAACTACAACGTGATGCATATGTCAAGTAGGCACTGAATGCCATATACATTGAAATAATTCTTAGCAGTAGTAAATCTTGCCAGTAAAGTTTCTTTGGCTATAAAGAATTTCGACAGCATTTTTCTTTATCTTATCTTCATTCCACCGTACAATGTAACAGCCTGCAAAGAGTTATCCTCCAGTTACAGAGCAAAATTTCTCACAATTGTATATTGGATAGCGGGTACTTATGTTTTGGCTGATGTTTATTCGGCGCAGTTGACATCCCTTTTTGCAAGACCGGCACGGGAACCTCCGATAAATACTTTAACGAAATTGCAAAAAGCTATGCTTGAGGACGGCTATCAATTGTTTGTAGAAAAAGAAAGTTCCTCGTTGGAAATGTTAGAGGTATAGTTAGGTTAAAGTAACACAAAAGAAAATTGATATAAATATTGCAAATTTATCGTTTAGAATGGTACCGAAATATTTCGTCAACTTTATGCTTTAATGAAATTGCAGAATCCTTTGGAAGATGGCTACCTTATCGAGTCGGTAGAAGCCGGTATACATTTAATTGCTGATGGGCAGGGGAATAAAGCGGTTTTGGGCGGCAGAGAGACTTTGTATTTTAATATTAAACAATACGGTTAAAACTTAGACTTAATAAAAATTAATTACAATTAATTATATTTTGACCAAATCTCTTAAAACGTTTTAGGATCAAAAAATTTTCAACTTAGCCAAAAGCTCTACACACGTTATTCAGCGGTGGCAGTACAAATCGGTTGTCCTTTCCTTGATAGTTTGAACGACGTGTAAGTGTTGGCCATTTATTGATAAAAAATTGTTCATCTTTTGTGTTAGTCTCATGCATCTATTTGAAGGTGGCATACTGGACAAAATGACCACCGCCGAATATGAAACACAGTCCCGTTTCCTTAATAAAGATAAAACATGTAAGACGATACCTCAAATGATAGATGAGAACGATGACTTAGGCAATGCAGCAGAGGACACGAGTAATAGCAATGGCGAAACTCTGAAAAGTTCAGGAGCAAATGAAGTGAAAAAGACACAAGATGCTTCTATAATTATACAACCACTCAATCTACGTATGCTGCAAGGTGCTTTCATTGTACTTATGGTTGGGTATATCTTGGCCGGTAGGAGTTAACAAGATTTGTTCTGCTTTAGTAAATTAACATTAAATAAAATAAATTATCTATTATTTCAGCTACGGTGCTACTAATTGAAATATTTACGTGTGATTTAAATAGTAATATTAATAAAAAATGTGAAAAATATATTAATAAAAAATTCAAATGGTTTACGAACAAACTCTGGGTAGTCATAACTAATCTCGTCCGGGAAATGATCCGTTGATATTCTGAAAAGCTATGACCTCACTGAAATTAATTTTTGCTTAAAGATGAAGAATATATTATAATTAATGTTGTTAAAAAAACGGAGGCAATAAACAAAAGTATCTGCTATAAATTTAAAATTTATTAATTCATCACGTATGTATTTGTGTGTGTTTTTTTTATTGTCTCTAGCAAACATGACATCAATGATAGTTGCAAGACTAGTTGCTTGGGAAACGATAATGATGGTAACGATCATAATGTCGATTGCGCTGATAGTATAGTTTATTATACGAATCGAGACAGACAGTGGGAACCATATAATGTTATTGTGGACGTTAATTCTTATACAAAAGATAGTAAGGCTTCTTTTCTATTGCTGCCTTCGTTTTTATTGCTATACGTACCTGTGTAAAATATTTTTGTCATATATCATAACAAATTCTTAGCTTTAGTTGTTTAGTTATTCTTAATTAATTTGATTTATTCGTCTTCATAATTTATGGATGACTTTCGGCTAAATTTTAAAAAACTTTCCACGAAGGTATTCTTATAGGACGAAATAGAAAGACTTAGGAAACAAACTTTCTTTATAGGAAGAAATTATGTGACTACTAGTGAAAATGAAGTAAAAATAATTTTGCAATGAATCATCAGAAAAGCGCTTTTGCGATTATTTAAAAATTCTTAGTCCTTTTAATCGTGCCGATAGTTGCACATCTCAATACAGCAAAAATTGGAGTGACTCTTTGAAACGTAATACATAACTTTTTGCTTAATATTGACAAATGAGATAATAAAAGGGCCAAATAAGCGATTGTTCTTTCAGTTCACTTGTCGTTTTGCGTACATCTTGCGTACATTTCGTGCGTCCGCCTGTCTTTTGCCTCTCTGATGTCCGTCTACCTGCCCATCTGTCTCTAGTCTGTCGGCCCGTCCCTTCAACCCGTTCATCAATTCGTGCAGCGGTTCGTTCATCGGTCCGTCCAGCTGTTCGTCCAATACTGCGCCCATTGGTTCGCCCGTCTATCTTCTTGTCTATTTGGTAGCCCTTTTGTTTTTGTTCTTTTTTCGCTGGTCTTATAAGAACAACATTTATGGCCAATTATTTTTTTTCTTGCATTTGTAACTAATGTTATAACAGTTCGCCAAAATGGCCATACATTCATGGTTTTCGTGTGTTCCTGACCTTCAGCCGGCCGCTCTCTTTTATCTATATCTTCCTCTACTGCCTTCCCTAATTGTTGTTTTCCTGCACGTCTTTTGCTTGCATTTCCAAGATCGTAAAATTGTGGAAGATGACATTCAAAACAGCTTTTTACATCAAATAGCAAAATTACTCGAAATTTCTTAAAAGAAAGAACAAAATGTTTAAACTAAAAACAGAAAATGTTTACGAAAAATTTCTTAAGCGAAGAGTGCATGATATCTTTTTGATCTCTTGAAAAGAAAAAGCATCGTTTCTGAATTCAAAAGCAAAAAAAATTGATATTATTTCTTCAAACAGCAAAGATTTTTTCTAACAATTTAAAATATTTAATTAGCCATCACTATGCATCATTTACACTCACGCTATTAAAATAATTTAGATAAGACTGAGCTGAAACTCTTGACGATGAATCTCGCAAGTGTTCATTAAATTATAAACAAAGAGGGGGCAGAAAAAATTGAGAATTTTTTTTATCAAGGCGCCATTTATAACCCATACATACATAGTGCGACTTTACTTTCCAACGCTTAGCCACAACACTCAATAAACAACAACAATTTGGTCCATTTGAACCTTTAATCAATTCTTTTCCAGAAATTGTCTACAAACCCATAACATTTAATACACGTTTATGTTGGCATATTCCACAATCCGGTTAAACGGAGATAAAGCTATGAAAACAAAAAATATAACAATAAAAAAAATTGAGCAATTGCTTTGACTAATATTTTTACTAGGACAACATGTTAAACTTCAAACTGTCTGCAAATGCGACATTGGCTGATAAACTACTCTCAAGCATACAAGTTTCTTTTCATACCAAAATAAAAAGTTTTTATTTGTTTAAGTATTAAATGTAAGCGTAAGTAAGCATGCGCGCGTACGAGTGTGTCTGTTTATGTGTTGTTTATGGGGGCTCATACCGCCATCGTCCACTGACAAGAGCAGCAATTGTACCAGAAAGATGTAAAGAAGAAAAACGCTGAGGCAGTAGAAAAAATTTAAACAGAAGTAAATAAACACAAAATAAGTACAGAGAGCGAAAACAAAACAAAAAATAAAAAAAAAATGAATACATACAACAATAACAACAAAATCAATTTTTGCGCTTGTGAAAATAATGGAGGCGACATTCAACAAAACAGATACCAATCGTGCATACATATAGGTATGGATGACGTCTGCAACGACAACATGAAGATGTATGTTGATGGTGCTGATGAGGTCTTAAAAATACATTCATACGTATATATGTGTTTTACTGGTTATATGTATTTTTTGTAGTCGCATTTTTTGTTTGTGCTTGGACGTCGTTGATAATATCTTGTAAGAGAAGCACTAGGATGTGCTGTTAAATTGGTATTATGGAGGGACAAACGCGAGCGGACACAGAAAATAAATACAAACACTCCAACACTTTTACAGTACTGCCGCACTTGGCCATTGTTTTTGTTGTTATTGCTCTTATTATTATTATTGTTATTCTGGTTTAAAGGAATATTGAGAATGCGCCACTTTCATTGATCCTTTCACAACTCTCAAAGTCATATTCAATTCCACCACAGTAGATCTCCATGCAGCAACGACTAACAAAAATTGGTAGTATGCAACAACTGTTGATATTGCAGTTGTTATTGTTATGGCTCTAGATGTCTAGATGTATTGAAAATGTATCAAGCATTTATTATTTTGCTGTTGTTGTTTTTTCTATTCGCTGGTGTAAAGTAAAGATTTAAGACAGCTTAAGTGGATTTGTGATCATGTACATTTAAAAGGAATATGTAGCCAAAGCGTGTTACACATATACATTTACTAGGTAGATACGTGTAGCCAAAACTCTGTTTGTTTAGTGTATTGGTTTTGTCTGCTTTTTTTTTAGTAGTTTTTTAAAATTTTTATTTTTATACAACTGAACTAAAAATAACTTTCCTGTGATCTTGCATATCATTCGGTTGCCTACGCCTGCCAACTACATGAGCTAAGCAGCCTGCATGACTGTCCGGCCGTCTGTCTGATTGCATACATATCGTAAGTGTAGATCGATATGCGTGGCACAGATAAGTGTGGGTTTTCAGTCACACCAAATAATAATTATGAACACATCATTTAAATACACACGGATCTTATCAACACAACATCTCTCTGTTTTATATATAATATAAATGTATAAGATTATGAGATAATAACAATAATAACAACAATAAAAACAAAAACAAGAATTCAACAACAAAATTAATTAATATTGATATTGGTTTTGAAGCGAAAAGATGTTACACATGTGCAGAATAGTTAAATAGGGTTATTGATTTTTTTCGCAGCCGTTAAAATTTGTTATTGATGCCTCTCGAGAATTTCATTTATTACAAAGTTGCAAGAAAATAATTATTGTTTAACTTTCTGGTTTATCTAATGGCTATGCCATATCGTTTACTTAACAAACAAGAAAGTTTTATTCGTCTAGAATTTGAAACAACGTCCGGCTCTAGTTAATACGCATCGATTCTTAAGGTTTATTTTAATGGGCATATCAATAAATATTGTTAGATTTTATTTGCATGGATTACTTATATTATTTAAGAAAGTACATACATACATTAAATATCATATCGCAGTTTTCATTAAGCAACAGATGCTGCAACTAGAAAATTCAATCTTGAATTCAGTTCAAAAATTTAATATACATTTTCAATTTTGGGCCACACAATAAACGCAAATTTGTGTGACTAACACTTATTTAAGAAAAAGCTAATAAAAACTTTGAGAAGAAAGGAGAAAAAGAATGGTAAAAATTTGAATTATCTTACCATGAAAGAACCAAAATCTCGAGTTGCATAATTTCTGATAATTACGTTTCCTGAAAACTTTCATTTTTCGGCAAAAGAGACTCTCAAGACTTTTAGCAGATTAATAAACATTTCTTCCCATTTCTGTCATGCAGCGAATGTATAGAACACTATTTTTGGAACTTATATATAAATAGGAGAAAGTATGCTTTAAATCCTCCAGAATAAACGGAAAAACATCAATTACCGATCAGAATGCGACATTGTCTTGCTTCTCATTTCTATTAGGCCCATATGTTTGGCTGCGTGGATTTTTCATAATTTTCCATTTTCAAAAACGTGTATGATTTATAAGGTCTCAGACCTTTATTTCTAACGACTGCACTTATTAAATGGATAGATATTGTAAAACCATAAAGTGAATGGCGAGCATTTGAAAGAAAAAGTTAAATATTCGACTAAAAAAGGCAACTTTTATTAATAATAAGAAAAACATATTATTTTCGGGCCTTGCCCGTTCCACCACTTCGTTTACAAAGCACAAATTCATTTTCGTAAAGTTACATGGACAGAGACAAGCTTAGATCGAAGTCAGAAAGTGTCTGAGGGTAGACCGGTGTCGTAAAGGATGGGTC